TCTCGGGGTCCGTGCAGCAAGATGTGCGCACAAGTCATGTTGTGAAGCGGGGGAAGGGAGAATGAGCAGTTCGGAGGGGGAGAGGGTCACTTGCCGCAAAGAGAGGGCTTAGAGCTGGTCGATGGCACAAGGCAGGCAGCAGGGGCTGTGGTCAAGGCAGAGGGCACAAGGCAGTGGGAGCTCGATCGGGGGAAGGAAGCCTTTATAGGGAGGGGGGGGGGGGCCTGGGAAGGGAGTTGGGCCTAGAACGCAACGGCTGGTGACATCTACTTGTCAGCATTCAGAAGAAGCGCCCCCTGAAGCTTCCGCTAACCGATTGCCAGCCATCTAGAAGATTCTCGCCCCTGGAAAGGCCGTGACGCACTGCGCGCGGGCCGTGTGCCCTTCATGGCATAGGAGCCGTGACCGGAGAAGTGTGTAAAGATGTGTGGAAGGGTGTCTTGTCTCGGGTAGATAGAACGCGATGGATCCAGTGCGGGCTGGCTGGGATAGATCGAGGCTGCGCCGTTTCGCGAGTCGAGTCCGCTGACCCTCATGGGGCTCCGGGCCCTGAGCCCCTCACGGCTTGTGGGCAGCCGGGCCTGCGCGGGTCACCCGGCCGGGCACGGAGGGCCTAAGGCGTGACGGTCCGATCCGATCCGGGAGACCCGGCGTTCAGTGCCGGGCTCGGGAGGCACTGCCGGCAGGACAAACTCTCAGACCCTCTCAGGGCCTCTTGCGGACAACTTAGGGTTGAAGGATGAGAGCAACATGGTTTATTCTAACGTAATCACGCCCTCCAGCATACGCAGCGACTTGAGCTTCCGGCTCGCCGCCTCTGTCGTCTCGGCCATGATCATCTCCTCCTCCTCCGATGGGCGAACGTCCGGCTTGAGGACAAAGTTGCCTCGCGCGTCGATGGAGCGGGTGCCAATGGCGGTGGCGGAGGCTTGGAGAGCGAGGAAGGAGGAGCTGCCAGGCAGGACGCGGCCGTCCCGTGAGATAGCTGGCCGTCCAAGAGGACCGTCGGGAAGGCGCTGAGGTCTGGAGGCAGGCACCTGCAGGGTCTCGGGGTCGTGCAGCAAGATGTGCGCACAGGTCATGGTGTGAAGCGGGGGAGGGAGATGAGCAGTCGGAGGGGGAGAGGGTCACTTGCCGCAAGAGAGGCTTAGAGCTGGTCGATGGCACAAGGCAGGCAGCAGGGCTGTTGTTGTATACACAACACAGAGATTGTCGACGACACGAGTAAAGTAAGGATGAAGAAGATTGAGAAGCAGGAAATAGAAGTCTCTAAGTTTAC